TATATCAATGACCTAAAATCCATGTGATAACTTAAAAAAAAAACAGTTTTGCTATCAAAAAATGGTTAGCTACAAACTTTGTTGCATATTTGTTTTCCATCTATATGTGAATGTATAAGTTGAATTTTTTTTTTTTTTTCAGTTAACCTTTTATTTAATAAACTGAAAAATGTTAACCTCAAATTATAGTTAAGAGTACACATCGTTTTCTAATAAATCCAAAATAAACTCTATCATATAAATGAAATGGAATAGAATAACAGTCGGTCCGCCACATGGATCAAAATCAGTTGATGAATCGCCATGATTTTGTTTTCTAGCATCGCACCTCCACCAGATTTGTATATATACCTTAAAACTACCTTACTGAATATCACAAACTATACCGCTTTCTCTCTCTAAAACACCAAATTCCCTTCTTCAATGGACGAGCACACCTCCCCGCTCCTCCCCTTACACGGCGGCGAAGACTCAATCCACCGCTCCATAAGCTTCCACACCCAGATCAAATCCATTTTCACCCTAAAAAACTTCTGCGTTTTGTTGGGTCCTCTATTATGCACCATTATATGCCTGTCGGTTAAGCTGGAAGGACCATCTCCGACCACCAGCCGGAACATGCTCGGCGTCCTTGCGTGGGTGTTCGCATGGTGGCTCACGGAGGCCGTCCCCATGCCTATCACCTCTATGTCGCCGCTCTTCCTTTTCCCTATCTTTGGGATAGCCGCCGCCGATGATGTGGCCCACTCTTACATGGATGATGTCATCTCCCTTGTTCTTGGAAGTTTTATACTTGCTCTTGCTGTTGAGCATTACAACATCCATAGACGATTAGCCTTCAATGTAAGTCTCATCTTTTTACTAATATTTTCTTCATAAGTTACAATAACATAGAAGTGGAAGTCTTTATTCATGTTTATTATGTAGTAAAAATAAAGTTATTTTTTGTAATCTTGTATATTTTTATGTTAAAAAACGTATCATGTACGTTTCCCTATGCATTATTATGAATTTCTGTTTAGAAATATATTGACATTGACATAGCAACCAATTTCGTATAAAATTTAGCTACATATATAGTTTGTAGATATCTTGTCCATTCTTATTAATAGTTTTAGGATTTTGGTAGTAATATCAGCTTATTGTTTTCTTATCTTGTGGATAAATCAAAGTCAAAATAATTGGGATCGATGATATAAAAATGATTTTGTCATCTTCACACAAGGGGATGTATATCAATATTTTACGTTATATATGTATACATCAAAACTAAAAATTCTATTTCTTTCAGTCAATTTTTGACCCCAACTTTATCTTAAATCACATTAGAAAGACTATTCGCTATTTCCTTTCTATACTTTTATTATACTGATATTAAAACGATTATGTTCAAAAATAACTACCACGTGTCATTCGCCTTGCAGATAACACTGCTGTTTTGTGGGGATCCACTAAACCCACAACTTCTTCTGCTCGGAATATGCGCCACGACAGCATTTGTAAGCATGTGGCTGCACAATGTGGCGGCCGCCGTCATGATGATGCCGGTGGCGACCGGAATCCTCCAGCGGTTACCGTCGGGATCCGGTGAATCGACGGTGATAACTAAGTTTTGTAAAGCGGTGGTCCTTGGAGTGATATACTCGGCGGCGATAGGAGGAATGAGCACCTTAACAGGGACAGGTGTCAACCTCATATTGGTTGGGATGTGGAGGAGCTATTTTCCGGAAGCAGATCCGATAAGTTTTAACACATGGTTTTACTTCGGATTTCCAATGGCAGTTTTGTTATTTTTTGCTTTGTGGGCCATACTTTGTGTTATTTATTGCCCAAGAGGATCTGGTGATGTCTTGTCAGCTTATTTGGATAAAGCCCATTTAAAGAGGGAGCTTGACTTGTTAGGTAAAGCCCACTACTAAGCCCAACTAGCAAACTTTTGTAAATTGGTATTTTTGACCCGTTATATTTGTTATATTTGTTAGTTGTTAATTATAATGTTTTTTTCTTGTGTTTGCATGTGGATAGGTCCAATGGCTTTTGCTGAAAAGATGGTGTTAGCTGTGTTTTCTGTAAGTTTTTTTTATCTGATTAAGTGAAATTAATTTGCAATATGTTGAGTGATTATTTAACGAGGTTTTGTTGCAGATGTTAATTGTTTTGTGGATGACACGAAGCATAACCGATGATATACCTGGATGGGGTGCCCTTTTCAATGACCGTGTTGGTGATGGAACCGTTAGTGTGAGTATTTTTGAATTATGCATGATTTTTTTACTTTGGGTATGACATAACATGTGATTTGTATTGTTTTTGGTGCATGGATTAAGACCAAGACTAATTCATATTTTTTTCCCATCCAAAAATTTGGAACATAGATTCACTATAGATATCTATTATGTACAAACAACATGAATGAGTGTAACATATGATATTGCTTGATGTCCATGATTAATAATAGAATATGAGTGTTTGATAAGCGGTTGATTTGTATAGGTAATGATGGCAACTTTACTCTTCATAATCCCTAACAAGAAGCAATTAGGAGAGAAGCTAATGGATTGGAATAAATGCAAGAAATTACCATGGAATATCGTTTTGTTACTTGGAGCTGGTTTTGCAATAGCAGATGGAGTAAGAACAAGTGGTCTCGCTGATGAATTATCCAAAACCCTACAATTTTTAGCACACGTACCATACTTAGCAGTTGCCCCGACGATTTGTCTCATAAGTGGAGGCATTACCGAGTTTACCTCAAACAATGCCACAACTACCCTTCTCATTCCACTATTGATCCAAATTGCACAAACGATTAATGTCCACCCTCTTCTCCTTATGATTCCTGGATCCATTGGAGCTCAATTTGCTTTCTTACTTCCTACTGGAACCGCTTCAAATATTGTAGGGTTCACAACTGGACATATTGATATCGTAGATATGCTTAAAACTGGCTTGCCACTGAAAATTGTTGGAACGGTTGTATTATCGGTTTTAATGCCTACTCTTGGTAAGTCGCTAAATTCTTATTTCATTTAAAAAAAGCATTCGATTAACTTGGGTCTCGCTTTTGCAGGAGTGCTCGTCTTTGTGAAGAACAAAGAGATACCATTTTGAAATATTCAAGATTAATTTTTGTTAATGTTTGTAACCCCTCCAAAATGTATGTATATTGTAGCAACATGGGGCTCCTTTCTTGTTTGTATCATTTTACTAGAATATAGTACATATGGCGTAAACGACCAGTCGACCACAAAGGAGGTTGTGCAAAAAATTTCATTTTTGTATATTTTTTTTATTTATCATTTGTAATATATTTTTTTTTGAATTTGTTAGATCCATATATACAACTATACAAGGAGATTTTTATATCTTGCTTACCTTTTCTCTGTTATTTTATAATTTATTTTTTATTCCATAAAGTATATAAAATGTATAGGATGTTGATTCTATTTGTTTATGAACACTTGGCGATAAATGGAGAAGGCCACTCTCATTATGTTCAACTCCATACTCCCAACCAATATAATATATCCAAACCACACCCTTCTCATTACTTGCAACATTTATTTCCTCAATCCCAATTCTCACTCACAAAACCTTTTATTAATGTTTCATGTATCTGTTTACTAAAAATACAACTCACAAGTCACCTAAATGACATATATATATTATGTATTATACATTCACATTTACTCACCCTCTCAACTCTATTTAGGTATTTGTTGGGAATTCAATAAAGTGGGGATGTAATTAGTGATAGCTAGAGATTTTTTTATCACTATAAATTCCCATTATCTAATTCATTTTCCATCAATCAAACAAGATGGCTCAGAACTTCAAGTCCCTTCTCATGGTCAAGCTAGCCTTCTTCGTTGCAATCACCCTCTATGGTGTCTCTGCCTCTAGGCCCACAACCACTAGCGACACAGTGAATGGAGTCGGGGCTTGGGATCTTGAGAAACACTACCTAGAACAATTGGGACAATACGCGGTGGCAGCTCACAACCTTGGGTCTGAACATCAACTGACGTTTCAAAAGGTGATTACCTGGGACCCGCTTACACACGATCACAGTCACAAGTTGACCATAGCGGCAACTGATCACGGCGTTACACACACCTATGAAGCCGTGGTTGCTTACAAACCATTGTTACAATTCAAGAAACTTATTTCCTTTAAACTTTGTTGAGGGATATTTCATTGTAACCTATGAAATATGAATAAAGTGAAAGTTTAATGAAATAAATAAGCCTCAAGAAAGGTGTCTCTATTTTCTCTTCTTGTCTTCCCATGTGCATACACATTATTGCAAACAAACAAACATATGTGTAGACGCTTCATAATATTGCAAAAGTAAACGGGCCCTACATAATTTTATTAATCAAGACCTTACTAAATAGTGTTTTTCAATTATATAGAGTTGCCATTATATTTTTCTAATTTGTAAGCCATCTAACTTCTGAAATGTGTTAACCAAAAGATAACATGCTTATTCAGTTATTCTTGAATCATATCTTCCTCACTTGTAATTTTCGCACCAAGAATCAGAATAAGAAATAAATTGCGTGGAATAAGGGAAGTACAAAAAGGTTTGTTCAAGGTGTTCAAAGTCAAATTGGAATCCGATTTTTTGAGCAAACCATTTAAAGGTATAACTCTTTGACTCAAATCTTAAGCTTCATATTTTGATTAAGTCTAAAAGATCGTGGCATTGAGTATGAAATAGATATATATATATAT